GCGAGAGAGTATCCTGCTAGAAGAAACTGAGAACGAAAATATCATGATATGATGATATAATATCTCACCATAGTATCCAATAATTGTTCCTTCAATGATTGTAGATATACGCTTCGAGCTACGAGAAAAGAACATTACTTCGCAGAGGAGGATCAAACCGATATACGTACCCATCTCAATGCAGCTTTGCAGAAGGCTTTTGTAAAATCTGTAATGGTGAATCAGAGTAAGTCCATTTTTAGTCGCGGGCGAACTCTCATAGTCTTGTTCGCTGCGAGACTGGGCGTGTCAAGAGTGAATGGTTGGCGCGGCGCCAAAGCCGTTTTCCATCAGTTGTTGAAGCGGTTAGGCGACAATAATTGGTGGAAAACGACTAATAAGAACGATGTGATACAGTCTTGTCGCTTGCTGGCTTCAACGGCTGGTGGAAAACGGGTTTGACGATGCGTCAACTGATCCTTACTGACACGCCCCATCGCCTCCAGCGAAGAAGAGTGTAGCCTTACATCCACTCCAAATCGTAGATGTTATACACTCCTGAACGTCCCGAAATCCACTTGTCGTACGCATCGCAGAACAAGAAGATCACTGCTAATCGAACATGACTCTGAAAATGAAGAACATTATAAGTTCCACAAGTATTCGCTCAGTGCCCCGCTTTTCCAAGATAAAGGATGGAGGTTTCCATACTGGTGAACATCGTTCACAGATACTTTTCTTCCTCATCACGAACATCACACTCGCCTGGCGTGAACTTATCTGGTGCCCGAGCTACAGACAGGGCACGTCGTCAAAATTTTCTCCTCTGATAGAGCCCCTCCCCCTTTTTTTCCCCGCCTTACCAACCACGATAACTGATATACAGTTCAGCGTTTTGATCCTCCCAGACGGGGCTGTTCAACAGACTTGTCTTTTCGCTCTAGAACCCATGCAAAGCTGCTGACTACTTTTTGTAGCCTTCAGTTCTCCTTCTGAGAGCGCTTGTATCAGATAACGCGGCAGATGGCTGACCAAGGTCGCAACAACCTCTACCTATGGCACAAAATTTATAGATTCTGGACACCTGATGTGCGTGTCAGATTAGATTTGAGACCGAATTCTGCAGTTTTATGACACTTATCGAATACATTAAGTGATTCGATCAGCGAACATGATTGTACTATGTGTAAAGGGTGTGAAACTCTTGACTCCAAAAACAGACGACCTTCAATTAGCAGAGCGCCCACAAAAAGTGGCAATGAACTATTAGCTGAAGGTTATTTGAATAGAAGGCTCATCACCTGAATTTTCATGTTATATAAAAGATGACGATATGCAGAGATGTTGTGAATGATAAGATCGATGACCACCAGCATTGTATCGTATTCAACATACTTGTCGACAACTTCGCCGCAACCTTTCTAAAAACGCTTATCCTAGATGTTATCATAAGGATTCTGAGGTATAGGCAAAAGTCTTTGCTCCAGCCTGACTCCAATCCTCACCTCACGCTATTTTGGGCGAGTGTGCTATCCCTTACGGCACCGGGGCTCACCCTTTCAGCTCAATGGCTTTTGTGTCATAAACTTATAGCACTTACATGTTGAATGTAATGGTCCGGTTAGGCTAACATTAAAATTATTCTAGATTTTTCAAAATTTAAAGCTTACCGAAGCGCTACCCGTCGAGACCACCGGCCCACCCCCTGGCCACATTTCTAAAGGTATTCCAGCAGTGTGCTTGTTCCGCTACTAGCTCGCTCTATTCCAAATGGTGAGAGTGAGAAGATAAGAAAAAAAGAGGGGGTACCAAATAAGGGGAACTGCAGCCTAAGGCCGAGAAAGGGGCGTCCAGACACGCTCTTTCTCGGCCTTAGGCTGCAGTTCATACTTTGCGGCAGCGTTCACCAGTGTCTACCAGCGTCCACTAGCGTTTCGAGCGTCCGGCAGCGTCAGCGACTGGGAAAGTGTAGATATCGATCTAGCGTCTGCCAGCGTCTACCAGCGTTCGCCAGCGTCTACCAGCGTCCACCAGCGTCTCGATGGGCTGGAAAGTAGAGTTATCGATCTAGAGTCTACCAGCGTTTGCCAGCGTGCACCCGTCTACCAGCGCGCGGGAGAAGAGCGTATGGCGAGATAGGAGGGTAACACACTGCTGGTAGAGAGTAGGCGCGATAGGAGGGCACCAGCTGATGCTACCCTCCTATCGCGCCATACTCTCCTCTCCCGGACGCTGGCAAACGTTAGATCCAAACGTACATTGCCCAGGCCCTCGAGACGTTGGTGGGCGCTGGTGGACGCTGGGAGGTGCTGGGGACGATAGATCGATATCTATACCTTCCCAACGCTGGCGCTGCCGGACTCTCAACACTCGTGGACGCTTCCGCAAAGTATGAACGAAGCCTTACGCAAGTGCAAGCGCGGTCCAGCATGAATTCTACATGCGTCATTTCCTTCGGGCTTTCTTCTGCTTTTTTTTTTGCTTTTGAGGTCATTACCACCCTGTCAGTAGCGTTTGAGCCGCACAGTTCACCATTTGAACGCGGGGCGTGCCTTTGATAGGGGATTCCACCAAGTGATCCACAGGAACTTTACCATTGGCAAGATGAAAAAACTCTGAGGCCTCACTTTCAGTAGTGATTGGATTCATCCTGTCGTAGAATAACCATAACCATTAGCGCATCGAAAGCAATGGTCAGTATGACCGCCCAATCGCTTCTGCTGCCACTCTACCTGACCTAACTTTGGTGCAGGAACATGCTTTTCGGACTGGACCAATCATTTGTGAGTAGCAAGTGGACACCACGGGATAACGCGCACCTTAGGGTCGTGCGCAATAATCATTTTCGTTTCATTGGTTTATTCGGCAAGGGAAGCAGTAAAGTTGAAAAGGTAAGTACGCCTGGTTGAGGAAGAGTGAAAATGGCAATGCGATAAGCGACAAGACCGAATTCCCTGCGTGGAAATGGGCGTGACGTCGCGTGGTGACCTCTTGTCATGGGCCTTCATTTTTGTTCTGAACATTTCTTAAAAACCTACGCAATCCGATAATCGGATAACACCTTCCGAATACCTCTGGTAGAGAGATGTGGACGGTTCCATGCAATTCACACACATATAAGCTCCTCTTAGCCATTGCACTGAATTTGGTTTGTCATTCAAACTTTCAGAAAAAATTCAGCTGTTTCAAAAATACTTGAGTAAAAATGTATGTGATGTGTAGCACTTGGCGGCAATCATTCGACATAGCGAAAACTATTTACAGAGATCATCAACACACATACAAAGATTGAGCAAAGGTACATCATGCAGCACATAGTGAGAAGTTTGAAGGCAAGGTCCGATGCGGTCTATATTCGAAGTTGAACGTAACCTTACTCATACGTACGTTGTTGGACAATTTGGAGTTGTTGGTGGATGAAAAAGGGAGACTGGAAGGAGGAGGAGGTGTGCAAATAGTGTCCTTTGTGTGGTAAAATATACCCCTTTCTAACGTATGAACTGAAAAAGGGAGATTCAATTGAAGAGGTTACACCAATTCTGAACAAGAAGGGAAAACGTGTCACGACAAGTTCAAAGGCAATTCCCGCGACTGAGTGCTAGGGGTAGTAATGCTCAATCATGAACCAGTAGCCCATAGGTAACTCCTCCAGTAGAGAAAAGAAGCGAAAAAAAAACCTTGGGAACACTCTGAACAGAGCCCCCCCCCTTAGCAGTGGGCACCTTGGATGAGTTTGTCGGACGTCGGCAAGCCCAATCAGCAGGATTTGCAGCCAATCCCCGACAAGAGCAGGGAAATCATCCTACGACGCTCCAGGCAACGCTATGTACACACGCAATTCCGCTTGTAAGCCGTTGTCTTGCAGAGTGAAAGTAATGGTTGCAATGGTTGCAATAATCACGCGTCTCTAGCTTCTTTATCTCGCCGTTTCGAGTGACGAAAGTGGTATATTCTCTGCGAATGCGGATAGCGATGCCAAATGCACCAGGCATTTTGCTCGCGGGAACTCACTCACTTGAACTGTCTTTAATTTCTGGCTGTGAGCTGATTCGGACGTAGTGGACACCATCATCGGGGCAAGCAT